GTGTTTGAATTTGTAAAGTTCAATGGTAAAAACTTTTTTGACAAAAAAAATTTCTTAACTTGTCGTACCATTTTGACAGATTGAAAATCTGACAAAAAAATAAAATTGCTACCGCCCATTTTGCAGCTCAGCTGATACGATGCAAAATCAAAACAACGTTTGCTGTTGTGTTTTTCAAAAACTTTTTGGCATACAGGCAAAACTCACAGTTCGGACGCGCCAGCAAGTACGGACGATGACAACGCCATCTCGTTTAGTAAAGCAGTTGATTTAATTTTTCTATGCAAAAACATTAGCGTCTGTTGAGACAAAAAGAGCGTTTTATGTCAACATAGACGTTGGCGCCCGCAAGTACGGATGAAAGCTGCGATACAGATTTTGTCCGTACTGTGAGTTTTGCCTGTATACTGTTTTTGACAGTCGAAGTAAACAATTTGTATTTGGACAAGTTAATATAAAGCCTGTTGCATTGCCATGGTGACCATTTTGAATTCTGTCAACTTGAAGAGCAACTATGATTTGGGAATATTTTCAACAGCGACGGATTCGTTTGTCTACAAAGTTTTTCGCAAAGAACTTGACCGACAAGACAGACAAGACATCCTAGAATTTGAACTAGAAGAAGAAGCGAAAACCGAACCACCACTCAACAACATCAAGCGAAATCAGCAAAAGCCCACACCAAAAAGATGTCAAAGATCGGGAATCAGAAAATACAAAACACCAGCAATAAAAAACAAGAGAGTTATTCCAAAAGTTGAAAACGAGGAGCTCGCTATTCTATATGAATTGAACAAACACGATTACAAAGTTGGCACAATGGACGTTCACATACGCATTGAACCGCTTCCGCCTCTAGAACCTTGTCCGTGCTGTAAATTGCCATTCTGCGAGCCCACCATGGCCCTTTCACACAAGTGCGACTTTACAACCCTACAATTTTATCGCTCTTCAGCAGAGAATAATCTTTAAAACAACATGCTTTGTTTATCAAATTTTTAGCATTTGTGTAATAAAAGCACTTTCATTTCTCAAGTTCTCAAAAATACAGTTAAAATGTTTGATTGCAATGGATTTTGTTTTCTTTGCTCTAAAAAACTTTATAAGTATCTTGATAAAACACCATGTGACTGAAAAAAAATAAAACTAGTTAATTTCTACAATAAGTGTAATTCTTTATTTAGTTTTAAAAGTAAGACCGCACTCTAAAAGTTGCCTAGAGAATAGATGATTTTACACTATATTTTTATCATTTTGCATCATTTGACTAGCCATATTGTTAACAGATATTAAATTTTTTACAAATATTTTAGCTTTACTTGGTTTTACTGTATAAAAGAACATTATTGACCCACAAAATCAAATTAGTACACTTTAAGAGCACTTACAACAACTGTCTGTTGTGTATTTTTGTCTAGATAGATACACGAGAACATTATTACTACTACACATGTTTTCCCTTGTTGAGTCCAGAAGGCCAATCGCCTGGATACGACCACTACTGCCACCTTTTCAATGGCATTATTTGTTTGAAGTGGGCGATTGGTAAGCATCTATACTTCTAGTGATTGGTTTGGGTGTTTGATTACTTCCGCTTTGATAGCGATTAGAGGACAGTCACGTAACACTAGCAAACCGACGATGTCCACAGTGTGGACTCACAACTGATTGACATTGTAGACGTGCTAAACGAAGACCAAGGATTTTTGGACGGTTATAAATGACCTAGCCAAATGAACTGGACTTTTTGCGTGTGTCACTATCCTGAAATTGCCTGCTTAATTACACTAATTACATTACCATCGGAATGGCTCCTGTTATTGTACAGTTGCCGAAAAACTTTATGCTTTGGTAATGGTCAAACCGAAGCTAACAGTGCAGTGCACCTGTCTATCACCGCTCAGTACTCAGTGAGCAGCCAGTTGAAGCCAATCACAACTGTTTTCCCTACTCCCCATAGACATGGGGAAAATTCTATTGTTCTCCAGACAAAACCGTTGATTGCCAGGTGACATTTAGTTGCCCTCATTTGCATTTAATTTATTATGATTATTTTTAAACTACAAAATTAAAAATATAAACTGCTTATAAAATTTTGAAAAATTTTTATACTTTTTACAATATTTTTTTTACTAATTCAAGTACCATTTTATAATAAATTGTTTTGTTGTCGCCCTCTGATGTTTGAGAATTCAATCATAAAAGNCGTTTTTCCTACTCCCCATAGACATGAGGAAAATTCTATTGTTCCCCAGACAAAACCGTTGATTGCCAAGTGACATTTAGTTGCCCTCATTTGCATTTAATTTATTATGATTATTTTTAAACTACAAAATTAAAAATATAAACTGTTTATAAAATTTTGAAAATTTTTTATACTTTTTACAATACTCTTTTACAAATTCAAGTACCATTTTATAATAAATTGTTTTGTTGTCGCCCTCTGATGTTTGAGAATTCAATCATAAAAGAAAAATTTTTAAATATACCATACGATTTTTTTGTTCTTTCGTTATTTTGTGACTAAATCATATTGCCACTGATACTAAAAATTAGATTATGTTTTTGTTAGGAAACTTTGTTTATGTTACAGAACACATTTACTGACAACCCAAGCTTGAAGTCATGTTTATGTTTTTGAGTGTTTTCTCATTTACTATTAATGAAAAGTAATGATTAAACCACACTTTTTGGCAAATGCAATTTACCATAAATTCAGTGGTTTTGCATAAAATTTTACTATAAACCTCTTTACATTAAATTTAACGCTATGGTTTTTTATCTATCAATCTAAAAAAGTTTGCATAAATGCATAAGTTATATAAAATAATTCAGATGCAGTAATGCACATAGTGCAAAACAGCTAATTTAATACTAAAACGGTAAAATCTATTATCAAAAGTTTCCATCAAAGAAAACGCACGCATGATAAGTTTTGAAAATTTTTGGACAAAAAAGTGACAGGGCTGGTGCTTAATTGATTAATGTTTCTGTTTTTAAAACGCTCTAATGTGAATTACAAAAAACAAATATCCAAGGTTAAAAAATGTTAAAATCGTTAATGATAAAAATTAAAATAAAAGTAGTTAGTTTTATACTTATTTTAAAACTTTTTTATTTTAACATATCAATAGACTTAGCAAATTGCATGTAAAAATTAAAAAAATTTTTGATTTTACTGAAGACAAACTGTTTTTTGTCAAGATTTAAATAGCACTTAAACATAAAAGTTTAATACAAATATATTTCTTTATTCTTAATATTCTGCCCAAACAAAAGGGTTTTCAGTACAATGAAAAGTGTTTGTAAAGAAATAGTTTGTGCTTATATATTGATCAAACTTGATTACTAGCAAAATTGGAAGTTTGCATCGTGCAGCAAGAAATGAAAAACAAGCAACTAAGCGGAATTAAAAAAGAAGTTTTGCAATTGATGAGCATAGCACTACAATTGATAGTGTTTTTGCAACTGATTTGCTAACAACAATTTTTCTTATTAAACTTTTGTGGTAAACTTGGCCAATCAGTATACTCGTTACCAGTTGCCTTTTGGCAGTTTTCAATTTTAGGCAAATTTAAGTTGGTGAATGATTTTCAAAGTTTGCATTAATGAGCAAAAACAATACACGGATTCAACTACCATGAGCTGATGCGGAAAAAAGTGTACAACAAGCAAACAACAGATTCAACGGTTTGCACTCGGGTTAATTACCTTTGCTATATTTACAAGTAGGCGAGAAAGCTTTCAATTGATTAATCGTTCAGTGGTGAACTGTGAGAAACAGAAAAATCGAGTGAAAGAGATGCTTTCATTGGTGGGCAGAATCAAAAGTGGAACTTGGAAGCATAAACTTGCAGATCATTACCCATTGGTTAGCTTCCTTTAGTAATTCTTGCCCCTTTTCATTTGCCTTTGGATAGCAATAGCTCAATTGGATGCCCATTTGTTTACGTTGTTCTTTTTCTTTTTAGTTGTATTCAACCTCCAATTCCCGTTAGTCAAATAACAGCAGTCACTCGGTCGGCAAATCAGTCATTCGCCGTACACAGCTCCATACGGCCGTCACAGTGTGTTTGTCTGTTTGTCTGTCTGTGTCAGAAGAAATCTATGTTTTTCATTGATGATGATGCTACTTGGTGCCATTGAAACTGTTGCATGCCACTGAATTGAGAGTAAATAAAGGAATCAATCAAAACAGCACAAGAATTTTCACAACAAAATATTTTTCTTTTTAGTTTTGTCTTAATTATTTTTTTGTTTGAGCTCATTTCATTTAACAGCAGCTTTTACGCGGAGACGTTGCAAAGTTGTTATTCCATAATGACGACTCGAGAAACGACCATTGCTATTCCAGTGATTACCGTGGACCCAGAGTCTGGTTCTTCAACCATTAAAGCCTCAACAGTGGTTGAATTTCAAGTGACGCCGGAAATAATGTCTGGCAGCAAAGCACCTGCGCCACGTTCTGTTTTTGAGCGAATAGTTCAGCTTCGCAGTCACATCAGTCCACTCAGTTTCCTCCCACCGCAACTTTTTGTCTACACATGCATCTGTTTGCTTTTCAGTATTACCTTCATTAGTTTCTACCTTTCCCTCACTACAGTGACAGAACACGAGAAATCAATTCGAGTAATAGAAACCTCTTTAGACGATGTCACACCTGACTTTACATCAGGAAAATACGATCTTAAAATGTCCCGTGAAAATGCCGACAAGTTGGCATTGTTGAAAAATGAAAGTAAGTAATCCAATTCTTTTCAGTTTAAAAACTTATCTTACTTTTCATTACAGAATCTAAATATCTCACCTTGGTTGTCGTTACGCTAGTCTCTCTTCCATTTCACGTTTTTGGTTTGGTGGCTGTAACAAAACGTAGTTTCACGCTCACTCTCACCTACTCACTCATATCTTTTATTTTGTTGTGTTTGCAACTAAAAATCAATCTCAACCTTGATGGACACTACTTAACATTGTGGTCATTTGAACTGATATTTTTTATTTTAGCTTCGCCACTGTACTGTATTCGACTGTACTACGAAAAAATAAGAAACCGTTAAAAGTTAAAATGCTTCCGAAAAAAACAGTTGTAATTTTTAAACTTGATTATTCAAACAACAATGTATTTTTAGTAAATTACTTTATCGTTTTTTGCCCAAAAATCATTCTAAAACAATTAAATTATTTAAAAAATTATTAAATTACTTAAATTTTAATTTATAAAAAAACTTTATAAAAATTTAAATATATTTTTAACTCAATTTAAAATTGTTCTAATAGTCAAAAAATTGAAAAATGTTGATAATAAAGACAGTTTTGTAAAATCAATTAATTTGTTAATATTACAATCACAAAAAATGAAAAAAATAAAAGCAAGAAATTGTGGAGCAGGGATCACAATTTATGATTCTGTTCTAGATGAGCCAATTAAGTGGTGCAATGTGATGAACAGTAAAGTTTAGTAAATAAATAAGATAGGAAGTGGTCCAATATATTGCAGTAAATTCAATGAAAATTAGTGCAAAAAGTTTCTGAAAGTGCAAAAAGGATACAGACATTGTTCAAAAATTTAAAAATGACTGAAAATGTGTGTGTGTGTGTGTGTGAGGATCACAATTGAGTTTGGGAATTGAGATGCAAAGGTCCATTAGGTGTGTGTGTGTGTGTATGTTTAGTTGTGTGACAAACTGTCAAATTCACTACATGCGCTCCGATTTTGTACCTTTTTTGTGAACTTTGGTGACAATACAATAATGACAAAGAAATTTATCAAAGATTGGCTATTTTTGAGCATTTGCTTTTCGATAGAGCACAACATAAGCAATGAGACGAGCAATGACGGCGTAAGCAGCAAGAAGTGCCATTTCAAAGTGCAAGTCTTCATCATTAAGATTAAAATTCTTCATGATTAACGACGGATTTTGCTTGTCCACCTGGTTCATGAAACGGTCAACTTTGTTGAACAAACTGCCTTGTGAATCTGAACCAAAAAAGCTAACATGCTGGCCAACGCACTCCATCACCTCTTCAACGTCGTCGCCCAGAAGTCTTCTGACCTCCTTCATATCGAAAACTTTAGGCCGCTGGCATCGTCCGTATCCGTAAAGAGTAATCAGCGCCGATTCAAAACACAGTCGATAGTAGGAGAGGTAGGTGAATGGTCGAATAAAGCTAGGAAGCGTATTGATCTGTACAAGTAGACCGGTGAAAAGGAGCATTGGTATCTGAGCAATGGCGGCAAAAATTGATGCGGCATTTACATTGTGCACAAACAATGCTGATATGGCGATTCCTGATAAATGAAAAAAAGATGAAAGGTTAATAGTAATAAATATGGGCAGAAACAAACGATTGGTTTGTGAATTGATAGTGACCTGGGCTCCAAAGTGTTTTATCTGGTCTACTACTGTCCTATTGTACTATCCGCAGTTTGCATTTGAAACTATTTTTTTTTAAACTAGCAATCGATTCAGATTTAATAATACTGTACAGTCATGTTGTCTGTTTGCAACAGTTGTACAAATACTAAACTTTTATTGTTGCAGTTACTGCTGTTGATCAATAACAAAAAAAAGATGCAGTGATCTGATAGTGACAAACAATGAAAGTTGTTACAAGAAAGGTTAGTTATTTGTTAGCTGCAATGTGATCGATTATATTACCAAGGTGACTGGTAATTGAAACGTTCTAGAGAACGTGAATTTTCAACACAAGCGCACAAACAGCCGTAATAAATGATGACTCTTAATTAGGAAAATTATGCATTTATTTCCCACTCTACAACTTAATTATAATTTTAAATTAAATGAATCAACTAATCTAAACGTATTTTTTTGGCACTAGTAGCAGTTGTTTCAACGGCATAATGATCAAACTTTAAAAATGAAAGTTATAGAATATACTAAAGATACGCCTGAAAAGGTAAGCGTAGAAGTAATTTTTCAGAAAAAATGCAAAATGGCATTTGCTCATGGCATAATGCACCCACGCACGAACTCTCATTTCTATTAATAGTTGCAAAAATGCGAGTTTGTTTAGTTAAAAAAGCAAAGCCTTTCAATAAATTGCCTTTTTTGTTAAAGCAATAAGATCAAAATAAGAATTTGCTTGCTTTGAAAATTGCACTACATTCCTTAATTAGTACATTTGTTTCTATTGAAGTTTTTTTAAGATTTCACCTGAGACCAGCGTCGAGCGTCATTGAAATGCAAACATTGAAAATGTCCTTATCACCACTGATCAAAAACAAAAATAAATTCTGAGTAAATAAATGAATAATTGATGTGTTGCTGCTGCTCCTACGCTTGCACCGATTACAGCACCTACAGTCTCTGCAAAAACGACTGGCTGACCAGTAACAACTGGCCGGCAGTGACGCACATAGAATAACTAAGCCACAGTTTAATTTCACTTACCAACACCATCGGCGACTAGTGCAATAAGCACAAGAATGGTAATGAAGTAAAAGAATCGCCACTGTTCCCAAATTTGCCCCGTGATCATGTATGCAGAAGCGCCAAAAATGACAGGCACAAGAACGGCTGGCAGCAGATTGGTAAGATTCTTTGCCACAAAGTACGAGCTAAAGGAGTACCAGCCGTTAAAGTACTCTTTGTAAAAGACGCCCACTTCCATCGGAAAGGTCAGTATTACGGGCATCATGGAAAGGAAGGCGACAAAGATGATAGCAAAGAAGACAAAACCAAAGTTGAGTATGGCTTGAGCACCTGGTCCCTCAAGGAAAGTGTCTGTCATGGCAAAGGTCTTATTGGAATTATAGTCTGATTTGAGATTCTCCATTAAATGAAGCAGCGAGTCTTGCGAACAGCCATCAGCAGAGCCAATATGGCTGTCGTAGTAGAGGATTATGTTGAGAAAGATTATGGCCACACAGGCAAAGGCGCGCATAAAGTATTCAGTTGGATCGCGAGATGATAAGCGAAGGCAGCGAGTCCAGAGAATCCACGTTTTGTACAACTCCCGTCGTTTTACTTGTTTACGAGACCTGAATATGGAGCAAACAGTATTTTACAATTTAAAAGCAGTTATTTGACAGTATCTCACCTTCGACAAATCTTTCCAATAGAAACAATGTCTGAAGTTGTTTCGCTTGGCCATAAACGAGCCAGTTCCTCGTTTTCATTTTTCCGAACCAGCTCATCATCTTCATCGACACATTTTTCATCATCATCTCCTTTGACAAAACTTGTTTCTTTGACAGCCTCAATGGCCAGCTGAGCATATTTTGGAGGCGCGTTTGAGACGTCGTTGTTGTTATTGTTATTGATCACCAACACTGAGTCGCTCTCATTGCTATAGCCGTTCTGCTGGTGTTTGACTCGCTGTACCTGCACCAGCTTCTTGGTCACCTCAGTGCCGTAATCATTGCTGGCGATTTCCACTACAAAGTCGGCTGGATTGTGGTAGGTTGGACAGGTGAGGTTGAAACGAGAGAGATAGGCGACCAACTGGTCAGTGGGTCCGTCGTAGATGCACTGTCCGTTGACGGCAATAACGTAGATACGATCAAAGTTTTGCAGAATGCGTGCTGTCGGCTGGTGAATTGACGCGGCAATGGCCATCGGCTGCTCCGGATTGTGCGCCAGATCACGCAGCAGTTTGACGCACTGGTGACAGGAAACTGAATCCAGGCCGCTGGTTGGTTCGTCCAAGATGAGTATAGTCGGAGAGTGAATCAGTTCGAGTGCAATGGAAAGGCGTTTTTGCTGGCCTCCAGAGCAGTTTTCGGCTCGTACGTGTTTACAGGACTCTAGGCCTAACTTCTGGATAATAGAGTTGACCAGATTGCGGTGATACGCCTCATCAGTGAGACTTTGGATAAGGCAAGAAAGAATATCGATGGTTAGCACCTGTTTCACTAGACAATGCACGTTAACTCACCTAATGATCAGATCCGAGTCGGGATAAGTAGTTGCATTGTAGACGTTATCATTGTCATCCACTAGCTTCACTTTGAGTCGATTATTGCGCTGGTAATTGCGCAACTGAGACGCAAAAAGANGTTAACTCACCTAATGATCAGATCCGAGTCGGGATAAGTAGTTGCATTGTAGACGTTATCATTGTCATCCACTAGCTTCACTTTGAGTCGATTATTGCGCTGGTAATTGCGCAACTGAGAAGCAAAAAGAAGAGTTTCGTAAACGGTGAGACAGGGCATCAGTGAGTCGTCCTGAGCATTATACGCCAGTTTGGTTCGCTTTCCTCCACCAGAGACAACAATCTGCCCACTGACGCCAATCTTTCTCCGGCCTGAAATGCACTCAATCAAGGTGGTTTTTCCGGCTCCACTTGGGCCCATGATGGCGATCAGCTCGCCACTGCGGATGCTGCCGCTGATACTGTCAAGCAGACGGCGATTCTCGTAGCCAGCTGCCACTGAACAAGGCGCTCGTACGTAGTTAGCCCACCGAAAACGGGCCACATCGTAAGAGAGGTTGCGCCAAAAAAGCTCCACATTTTTTGGCTTCTTGATGATGGCATCGCCATTGGTCGTTGGAGCACCGCCGTTTCCGTTCCACCACTGCCTGGCGCCATTCAACCTCTGGTTGAGTGACACAATGAAGCTGCTGCTGTTACCATTGACGATAGCTGCGCCATTGGCTGCTGTTGCTGCTGCAGTGATGCTGGTCGCCGTGGTCATGCTACTGTTGCCTCCATTGTTTACAACTGTTGAGCTGTGGTCGTTGCTGATGCTCGAGCTGAGAAAGACTGGAACATCATCGTTGCCGTTGTTTCCTGACTGCCGATTGTGAATGAAGATGACAGTAGAAGGACTGGAATTTTTGGTTGATGGTTTGAGCAATTTTTCACTTGCACCACTGTCCTCAATGTACTCCTCAACGTCTGCCAA